GATGGGTTAAAAATGTAAACCTGCTTATTTTTAAAGGTTTGAAGTTTGGTGCAACAGAATTATTAGATAAACCTTAGATTTAAAATGAATCATTGCAAACCATTCAGCTATCATTTGAAGATGAAAAATGCACATTAGGCCTAATGTCTGAAGCGGCAATAGGCCTAATGATAATTTAAAATATAATTTGAAGAAGTGTTTCTTTCACAAAATGAGTATTGTATATATAACTATAAAATATAGGCAATTTTTCTCCCTCTTGCAGGCACTCATGTCATTTCCATTTCTTTCAGGATAAATGAATGAATTCACGTGTTGTAAATCAGTCTGTAGGCCAATAGCACAGACAGCACCTAAATTTATCGATTAACTATGCATATTATAAACTTAACATTTAACATACAACAGTTTTTCTATTAAATGATTTTGTCTTTGTTACTCTTAGTTATAAAGGAACTTGGTCCCACCTCTGCTAGTTAGTGAGAACCAGCATATCTTATTTATGTTCAACAGAAGAAAGAAATTCATTCAGGTTTGGAATAACTTGAGGGTCAGTAAATGATGACAAAATTCCCATTTTTTGGAAATGGAAATACAACATACTGTATACTTTAAATGTAATGCAATTCTACCAAATGCAAATAATAATGTAAATATAATGAAAGTAGACGGTGATTTATGCTGCTAAGGTCCAAAAATGATCATCTTTCTCACCAACAAATCCAATTTATGCATTTCCATATTCATAAAATCGCGCCTTCAGATATTCCAATCACAAACAGCAAATCTGAATATGTACAACAAATAAAGAGTTATGAAAAGAGTTTTTTGGAGCTTGATGTCCACTTTCATTATATAGAAAAAGCAGCTGGGTTGGAATGAAATGAAGCTAAGTAAATGATAAAATAAACATTTCATTTTGGGGGGTGCAGAATTCCTTTACTCATATGATTACCATCAGTTATTGTACAGCTCTATCCACTGTCTGAAAATACTAAATTCCAAGGATTGTTCAATCTGAAAATCCTTGGAATAAGTATAATTGTGCCATACTGTGACAAGCCTTTGTGCTCAAGTAAGCACTCCTAATCCTATCAGCTGATTAACACATCTCATAATTACACAGCTGCCTCTGGAGTGGGCCGAACTCATGTCCTCAATGATGGCAGAGCAGGAAGTCAAGCTGAAGAGGATTGGGAGAGGGATGAATGGAGGTAACAGGTAACATGTATGTGCACTCTTTTGGCCCCTCACACACACATCAAGGGAGGCATTTAAAGGCAAAACCAATTCTCTGAAGCTTTTATCCAAGGTAAGCCATTGTTGCTATCTCTGTGGCTGCTCCATTAACACAAGACCTCGTATTTTTTCAAAAAAAGACACAGCACAATAGAGTGAAGAGGCTGTCCTTGATGGGAATCCCCCGACAGTTGTGGTAACTATGATTTGCAGATAGCGGTGAGAATCAGAATAAAATACTCAGAGACCGTAAGTGACCTGGTGAGAGTCTGTGTTTATTTTGCTCCCAGCATGCTTGTATGCCTCAGGGGAGTATGAGACGCTGCCTCATCAGCCGTAAAGCCCACTTAAATACTTCCAGGTGCTGAAGAACTCAAAAGAGATATTCCACCAAGGTGAAACATGGTAAGCCGGCTTATAAATACAGGAATAAACACAATGAGGATGACAAAAAAAAAAAAACACTTAGCTGGCCCAGTCTATGCTGGTTTTAGAGTGGTTTGGGCATTTGTTAGCTGTTGAGGTTTGGTGACCATCTGACCGACCAGCTAAACCAGCAGAACACCAGTATGGAGGGGCAGGGAGACGAGCTAAACCAGCCTGGCCAACCTGGGTAAACAGTCAGACCAGTTTAAACCATCTTAGATCTCCCAGACTGCTCAAGCTGGTATAGTTTTCTGGATTTAGTGCATCCAGGGCACTTGTTAGCTGCAGCTACAACAAATTAAACCAGCTAAGACCAGAAAACCATCTTAAGCCTCCCAGTCTACTCAGGCTGGTTTTAGAGGGTTTTGGGCACTTCTTAGCTGAAGAGGCTACTGTAGCTAGACTCTTTTTAAGATACTTTTTTTTGCTGGCCAGACAAGATTAGACAAGATTAGACCAGCTAGACAAGATTAATCCAGTAAATAATCTCAGGTCTCCCAGTCTGTTCAGGCTGGAGTAGATGCATTTTAGGCACTTGTTAGCGACCAGGCTGGGAAACTTATTAGAGCAGCTATACCAGATTCAACCAGCTAGGACCAGCAAACTGTCTTAGGCCTCCAAATCTCCTCAGGCTGGATTTATAGATGTTTGGGGCCTTGTTAGCTGGCCAGGCTGGGAGACTTGCTAGACCAGATTAAACCAGCTAAAACCAGTAAACCATATTAGGCTGGTTTAAGAAAACTGTACATATTAATAAAGGTTTAAATGTTTTTACCTCTTTACCATTTGACAATTAAATGCATGTGAATTAGCGAAGGTGCTAATGAAAAAAAAAAGGCTAATTCTTTTGAATAAAACCATTTAAGATGGAGGTTATTAAGCCTGTTATTAAGAAACCACAACTAGATCCTAGTGAACTGGCAAATTATAGACCCATTTCAAATCTTCCGTTTATGTCTAAAATTTTAGAAAAAGTTGTGTCTGCTTAATTGTGCTCCTTCCTGCAAAAATGATATCTATGAATAATTTCATAAGGTTTCAGGCCCCATCATAGCACAGAAACTGCACTTGTTAAAATTACAAATGACTTGCTTCTTGCGTCAGACCAAGGCTGCATCTCATTGCTAGTTTTACTTGACCTTAGTGCTGCGTTCAACACTATAGATCATGACATACTCATAGATCGATTACAAAACTACACAGGTATTCAAGGGCAAGCTTTAAGATGGTTTAGATCCTACCTTTACGATCGCTATCACTTGGCCTATTTAAATTGGAAATCATCTCTATAATTAAATCCAGTAAAGTGTGGAGTGCCACAAGGATCTCTCCTAGGCCCTCTACTATTTTCAATATACATGTTGCCCCTTGGTACTATTATTAGAAAATATGGGATTAGTTTCCATTGTTATGCTGATGATACTCAACTATATATTTCAACAAGACCACATGAAACTTCTAAATTATCTAAGGCAGTGTTTCCCAACCTTTCTTTAGTCCTTTGGAAATGTTACCACCCTTTGGTGGACATTTTTCCATCCTTTGGAAATTTTAACAAATTTGTGGCACCCTACAAAATTAAGCAATCAGTAGGCTAATTTCTAATGAAAATAATTTATATGCCAGATTTTAATGTAGGCTTTTATTCATATGTAAACATTGTGAGATAGCTAGTTATAATGGTAATTAAACAAAGTTTACAGGAAGACGTACAACAGCGGACAGAGAACTTGGGACTGGGAACACATTTTATACACACACACAGGAGGAGGGGATGACGAGACACACCTGGGAGCCATAGAACCAAGGGAAACACCTGGGACAAATGAAATAAACTAATCAGGACAGGAACAGGAAACTAACCAAATAAGGGCAGGGGAAGGCACATGGGGAGCAGGACACACACAAAACATGGAACAGAGTCTGACATAACGCCCCTCTCTGGAAGACGTGTCCTCACGCCATATAACATCCAATGGGGAAGGGGGGGGTGGGCACTCTGGAGGTCCCTCAGGACAGACATGGGACAGTGGGCCTCCAGAGCGGTACCCGTTCGGGGTGCCATGGCGGATCCGCATGACTTCTAGACTGGACTATTGTAATTCACTGCTAGCTGGTTGTCCTGCATCTTCAATAAACAAGCTACAGTTAGTCCAAAATGCAGCGGCTTACCAGGTCAAGAAAATATTATAATTTTACCCCAATTTTACATTCTCTGCACTGGCTACCTATTAAGTTCCGTATCAGTTGCAAAATATTACTACTTACTTTTAAGGCCCTAAATGGTTTAGCTCCTGCGTACCTAACTAGTCTTCCT